TCTTCTGCAGGGGTTATATAGGGGCCTAAATGAATTACCTATACTATTTTGGGTGCCTTACTATAATTTCAGTATGATGGGCTCCAAAACCCTATTATGAATTATTCAGGCCCCTATATTAGGGGATGGCTTTCAATTTAGCTAAGGTTTCGGGGACCTGAACTTCAGAACCAAAACCGAGCGTCGCGGAGTCTTGACACCTCTTTGCAGGGGGGAGCGCCAGGATTCAGGACCATGTGCCGCTGGCTGTTGAGAGAGCTGTTGCCTTCTTCCAGTGGAATAAGGCCCTGTCGAGGCTCGCCCGCAAGTAGAAAGCCGAGCCTGCTCCCCGAAATCACCGTCAATCTCTTACCCTAGCGGCCGTAGCTCTAGATCCCTCCTCATGAACTGCAGATCCAGCCACAGAAGCTGAAACTGCAAAACTTCCCGAAAACCACGGAACGGCACGGATTCAAACCCTTAGTTCAGCGCTGGAGCCCTGTACACCCCTCAAGAAAACAGCACAGCTTTGGCCACAGGCCGCCTGACCCGACGGCCGCGAGGCAAGAGCCTGCGCTCGACGTCTGGCGAGATGACGCTCTGGGTCCTGGCAGATATCTTGTTGTTATGCTTACCCCCACCCTCCCCCTCCCTTCCCCGAACACATGTGAGCAGTTTCAATCTGACTCTCGCTCTCACTCTCGCTCTCGCTCTCACTCTCGCTCTCGCTCTTGCTCTCACTCTCACTCTCACTTGCGTGCTTGCTTGCTTGCACGGCGTTTGGGCCGGGAAACGAATCCCCAACCCCTGCGCGCTAGCGCTACGCCGAGTGTTCATGTTCGGTCACTCTCACACACACTCTCTCTCTCGCTCTCTCTCTCTCTCTCTCTCTCTCGCTCTTTCTCTCTCACTCTCACTCACTCACTCAAACTCTGTCTTTCCTTTCTCCGCAGGTCTCAGGGAGCTGCCCTGGCCCCTCCCTCTCTCTCTCTCTCTCTCCCTCGCCCTCGCTTGCGCCAGCTCCGAGCTCAGTCTCTCGCCTTTGACGTAGAGTGCATAACGACAGCTAGACAGGAAAAGCCATCCCGTATGAAGGATGCGCACACACGCGATGTCTACATAATTACTATCCTGCTAGGAAAGCCCAGACAACTTCCGCAAACGCGTCGGCGAAGCCTTGCAAAGATAGCACCCCTAAACCCTAAGCCAGTCCAAGTTCTGCTGTCCTCGGCCTTGGCAGCAGCTGCAGCTGCCAAAGGCGGCGGTGCTGCTGGCGCTTGCCTGGTCCGTCTCTCTGGGTCGGTGCAGGGGCTTTGCGCTTCTTGGTCTTTGTGGCATGGTTTCGGGTGTTGGCCTTAAGGTTCAAATTTGTCGCAAGTGCCCACTATGGGATGCCTCGCAGGGTTCAGGCTGCAGGGGTTGATTAATCTGGCGGCTTCTCCAATCGAGCATTCGGGCTCATGACTGCACCAGGCCGGGATAAAGGTCGTTTGAAGCTGGACCCCAGTTAGACAAATTCACATCATGTCTGGTTTGGTCGGAGGTCTTGATTTAGAGACCAGGCACCAAAATCAATCTGTCTCTCTCCGTGTCTCTCTCTGCCTCTCAGTCTCTATCTGCCTATTTCTGCATCTTACAGAAGCACCCAGCACATACTATGCGTGCATGCATGTGAATACGCGAGTGCATTAACCTTGCGAGCATGGTTGCATGAATGCCCGCACGCATGCGTATTCCCACTGCAGGTGCATGTGAATGCGCAAGTGTGTACAGACGTGTGAAAGTGCGTAAACTTGCGAAAAAGGTGTCTACGTGTGCATGTGTGCATGTGGGATCCTTGCATCTAAACTAAGACCAACTAAGATGGTCTAACTCCTCATAGTTCTGGGTTGGCAGCCGGTCCAGAGAAGCCCTTCTGAATGGGGTGAGAAGCGAAATGCTACTGCCTCTTGTAGGGGCCAAAAAAGGCAGATAAGCAAAAGTAAGGTTAGGGGTATCCCATGTAAACGCCCTTATAATGAAGCCCAATAAGGTAGGGATATCCCCGTAAAATGCTTATGCTTATGTGCTTTTTGGGACGCTTATCTTGAGTTGGAAGGACCTGATGCACCCAAGTCGAAGCCATTGCAATGTCAGGGTACTTGGACGGAGAGAGTCCAGGCAGAGAACTTATTTGGGTCAACTTCGTGTTTCTGTCTTCTTACTTCTCAAAAACCTATGAGGGAAAAAGTTCAAACTTTCCAATAAGACTACCTTATCAGAGCCCCAAAAATTGAAAAGTCTGTTTTTGGGCCGCTAAGTCTTTAGCCACCCGAACTTCCGAAGCCAACACCATCGGCCTCGCGGCAGCGCACAGACTGTGCACTTCCTAGCCCAAGTCAGCTGCACATGGCTGATCCTAAAGCCCTGAACATCCCTGAACCTCTGAAATCGCAGGGCTTTAACTTTGAGGGTGAAAGGTTTGGAGGTTTTGGTTTAATATACGGCTGAACTGCGAATTCAGAAGCTAAGGACCCGCGAATATGGACTCCACGCATAGGAGCCTCAATAGAAGAAAGGACGAAAAAGCGTGCACACTGATCGAAATCCCAAACTCGTCAGGCCGTCCGGCTGTTAAGGGGAAAGATGATGATACGCGCGTTTCCGAAAATAGGGGACCCTGATATGCTACCCTAAATAGTAGGATCCTTATTCTAAGGACCCCAAAATAAGGTACCCCTAAAATTTCGGAAACCCCCATATGTCCTTGATGGGCCCTCGTAGCGACGGGCATCCTGCGCTCTGCATCCCTTGAAGCCTCAAGACCCGGGCAAGCATTTTGGCGTTGTGGAGACTCCTAAAAAATTCTCAGAAGCCTTGAACGATGAAACGGAACCGGAGCTCAAAGGTGCAGGGTTGTATCAGCTACAGCTTCATGTAATTGGTCCCTACCTAGACCCCCAAAAGTAGGTACAATAATGGCCCAAAACCCATAAAAGGCCATTTATTCTACATACGTTTGGGGTCCAGGTACATACGTGCCCACATGTATACGCACAGGCATCCACAAGACATAATAGATGCATACATGCGGGTATGTGTTCTTAAGAGTGTCGGTTTGCGCACGTGGGGAGGGAAGAAGGGAGGAAGGGAGGGAGGAAGGGAGGGAGGAAGGGAGGGGAGGGAGGGAGAGAGGGAGAGGTAGACATCACTGAAAAGGCTCAGGAAGTTTGCAGACATTCTGAGTTGTCCTTTAAGTCATTTGAAAATTATTTACTATTATGGTTCTCTACAAAATAGTAGGGGAAATTAAAAAAGATCCCAAAGGACAACACAGACATGAATTTCTAGCGTGCACAAACAACGGCGGTTGCCGAAGGGCTGTGCTTCCCTCCTCGATCTAACCTCAAACAGCCTTATCACCCTAAACCCTAAACCCAAAACCCTAAACCCAAAACCCAAAACCCAAAACCCTAAACCGCTGGACTATGCATGTGCCAGGAACCGAGTCAGAGAGCCTTTTTGCATCAGGACTTGTGCAATCGCCTGACTCTGACTAAACCCTAAACTGTACTGAACTTAGAACCCTGGCAAAAAGTATAATTTTAGCTGTTTCTTAGGGATTATATTAGCCCCAAATTAAAAATTATTTCTAAGTACCCCTAAGTAAACCCTGAACCCTCACCCCAACCCAGCCGTCCTGGAGTAGTGGGCTCTCCTCTTCCGCCTGATCACGACTTCTGGGTTCCCATTGGAACTTATAGAAGGTTCCGAAAATTAGGGGTACCGTATTTTGGGTTCCTTTTAGGATCCTACTATTTAAGGTACTAGATTAGGGTCCCCTATTTTCGGAAACTCCCTTATGGCGAACCCCAGAAAGTTGGAACATAGGTTTTGGATGATTCATGGTGGGATTCTCCATGCTTTACTTTACAGGCAGGAGGATAATGATGTTCGAACTTTCTGGCTTCTACTGTAAGCCTCTCAGGGCTGGTGTGGCCATGAGTTGAGCTTTCCTGGCCGGGCTTTCTTCTCCTCCATATGCACATACATACATACATACATACACACATACAACAAAATAATTACATGCATACATACATACGTCCATACTGACACACATACAAACATGCGGAGAGGTATCACAAGTAGACGGACCGAGTGGTCAGCTGATATGGATGATGGGAGAGAGTTTTGCCCCTATTACGACAGTCTTTGATAGTCTCCCTGCTTTCCAAAAGCTCTCCGATCCCGAACACAATGCCAATCCCCAGGACCGAAACAGCCCAGTCCGGTTCGCGCACAAAGGAAGCAACCCAGCATGGCGGATGGAGCGACAAAAACATCGCCACTATTGCTACCATAACTACTATTATTACCATTATTACTATTTTTATACTATTGGTACTACTATTGCTACTGTTATACCAGCACTACTATTATTACTATTTTTGTATCATTGTTGCTATTATTGTTTTTGCTTCCGCAGGCTGAGGTCTCACACCACCAGGCTTGGCCTGAAGGCGAGCGCCTTCCTGTACGTTTGTCAAGTGAAAGCGATGACGTCAACGAACCACGGTTCAGGGTTTACCTGGACCCTAAGGAACCTACCTTTTTAGGGTCCCCTAATATTATCTCTTTTTATAAATCCCCCAAAAAATATAGGTTATTTGGGGTTGAGGTAGGGTTTAGGAACGTAAGCTTACCTTTGGTTAGTAGGGAATGGAAGAATGGTAGTAAATAGTAGTTATAGTTGTACCCCAGACCTCCATTCCCTACTAACCAAAGGTTGAAATTCGGCTTCAGGGACGGTTAGGGCTCCATTTTGAAGTTGATGAGTCTAAAGTCGACTGAGCAAGGGTCTTTGCTGCAGGGTTTAGAGGCTGTGCTGGGTGCTATGGTCGGGGAGGCCGGCCCGGCAAACAGTAGCAGAGGGGTTGTCAAAATCAGGGCCTAGTTTTGAGTACCCTAGTTGTTAGGTGCCGTATTGTAATAGGGACCCAAAAAGGGACTCTAATTTTGACAACCACCCATATGTGACATCAACGAACGGGTTGCGGATGGTGTGCCACCTTGTTCAAGTCCGTGAACTCGTAACCCAGCACTGGTGGGACACGAGGAAGAAATCCCAGTATCGACTTCACGATGGGATGCCGAACCTGCAGAGCTGAGGCGTGCGCCGCCCCCTGCACGAACCGGGCCAGCGCAAGCAGGGAAGCCACGAGGTCTCCGGACTCGCAGGGGACGGCCCTTCCAGAGGCCAGCAGCGCTAAGAGGCGCACGGTCTCCCTCCGGGAGCTCCATACGAGCTCAGGAATATCCACCAGGATCCGGTCCGGCCCGGGGGGCTCCGGATCATCGATGCGGTAGTCGGCGCCGTTTTCCAGAGCCCGGGCCACGATGTCCACCCCCTCGGGGTGATCCAAGGCGCCCGCCACCGCAAGGTCCTGTACCAAGAGGTGGAAAGTACTGGGCCGGCCGATCTGGTAGATCTTCCACTTCATGAGGTTCCTCATTCTTTCAGCTCTAGAGACTGGGGTTCTCGTGCTCTTCTTATGTGGGAGTTTCCAAAAATGGGGGACCCTATTATAGTACCCTGAATAGGGATCCCCAAATCAGGTGCCCCTAATCTTCGGAAACTCCTGTGTCGACGACAAGAGAAAGATTGAAAACCTGCTGCTTCCGGCTGCAGCTCCAGTGAATGGCATCCCACTTGGCCCCAGTCTCCTCTGCCATCCTCAACCACTTCCTGGGATCTTATTACGGAGTTTAATTTACGCTACCATAATAAGGACACCCTGTTAGTTATTTACTATAGATCCCTATTCATGGTAACTTAAACCTTAAACCCTAAACCCTTAAAGGAACTCTTATAGATCAAGAACCCAGCTTCCGAGAGATCGCCTCCCCAACTCGCTTCTGCTCGGCCAGGGTCTGGAGCAGTGGAAGAAAGGCCCCCTTGGACTCCCCGATTTCGTCCTCCTCCGTCCGCGTCTTCCTCGAACCGTTCCACAAAAGACCAGGCTGGGGATGAGTTTCCAGTACTTTGCGGGCATAGGCCAGTGCAGCCTCCGGCGACATCGTGGTCTTGTGCTTTGGATTTCTTTTCAACGCCAAGCGGGGGATCTCCTCGAAGGGGGTTAAGTTCCACCCGTCCAGGGAAGCCCAGTCGGCACCATGTGCCATTGCGAGATCGATGAGAGCATCCCCTGTCGGCGTTCCCAAGACGCCCCAGCAAACTGCATCGCCAACCAGTTCGGAGAAGATGTTCCCGCCGCCCTCCAACATGACCCCCATGACATTCTCCGTTCGGCACTCTGTCAAGGATCTCCTAGACTGAACTTAGAACCCTAGCAAAAATTATAATTTTAGCTGTTTCTTAGGGATTATAATAACCAACAATTAAAAATTATTTCTAAGTACCCCTAAGTCTCGCCAACAGTTCCATGGAAGCAGGCTCCTCCAGAAGGTCGGCAGCCAAGAGCAGAGGCACCATAACCTGGAAGGCGACTTCATCGCGATCGCGAAACACATGCTCCTCTGGGTTCTTGTTGTATTTAAGGTACCATAATAAGGAAATCCTGTTTTTACTATAGATCCCTATTATGGTAACTTAAATTCTAAACCCTCAACCCTCAAAGGAACCCTTATAGATCCCTATGATGGTTTGACAATGTTTCACAAGAACCCAATTCCTCGCCGCTGTCCCACCGCGCGCCCGTTCGCAAGGCGAAGTCAACGAGCTCCCGGCCCTGGGCCCCGTTCACGGCGCGGACCTCGATGAGGCCCCGGAGCAACTTCATGAAGCTGGGCATGCCTGGGGGTTCTTCTTAAGGGGAATTTAGTTTAAGTTACCATATCAGGGATCTATAAGGGCTCCTTTAAAGGGTTTAAGGTTTAAGTTACCATTAGTAGGGATCTATCGCAAATAATGGGGTTTCCTACTTTTTTGAACCCAGGCTCTATGCCATCATCGGAAACCCTACTTATTATGGTAACTAAAACTGAATTCCTTAAGAAGAGCCCAGATTCTCCACTGCGCGCCCAGCTCGGACACGGCCCTTCGGATCGCCTCCGCGCCGGCAGTGGAGGCCATGGACTCGGCCTTCTTCTGGGCTTTGAAGCAACCAGGGTTTAGGGTTTAGGGTTTTAGGGTTTAGGGCTTCAGGGTTTTAGGGTTTTAGGGTTTAGGGTTTACATAAGGTTTTAGGGTTTTAGAGTTTAGGGTTTACATAAGGTTTTAGGGTTTTAGGGTTTTAGGATTTGGGTTTAGGGTTTTAGGGTTTTAGGGTTTCGGGTTTTACGGTTTTATGGTTTAGGGTTTAGGGTTTGAGGGTTTGGGGTTTCAGGGTTTTAGGGTTTTAGGGTTTAGGGCTTTAGGGCTTCAGGGTTTTAGGGTTTAAGGAAAAAGGGTTTAGGGTTTAGGGAAATAGGGATTTAGGTTTTAGGGTATAAGGTTTAGGGCATAGACGAGGGGCCTAAGGGTTCCTTAAAAGGGTTTCTATAAGGGGTTCTAGAAGGGATGCTCTGAGGGTACTATAATATAGGGGCCTTAGTAATTTGAAGAGGGTTCCTCTAAAGGGTTCTTACAAAGAGCCCTATTAGGCTTACTTTAAGGGGTATTATGGGGGTTTAACCCAGGGCCTTAATAATCAGAATAGGGTCTGGAGGCTCACTATACTATAATCATCATAAAAAGCCCCCAACATAGTATAAGGAATTATTAAGGCTCCTATACTATAGACGTTTATGTCAGAATGGTTCCCTTTGAGTAACAGGTCCCCCCAAGAAAATGGATTAAAGTCTGGTACTCCGAAGCCGGGCCTTCCTCAAGCCATCGAGGAGAGCATGGAAGGGGGTCGTCTTTCGGTACTTGGCAACGGCTATCCTGGGTTCTTCATAAGGAGCTGAATGTAAGTTACTCAAAAAAAGAAATCATGTTATCTGCTATAGATCCCTAGCACTTAAAGGATCATGGGACTTAGTAACTAGGTTTTAATTAGGGTAACTATACTTATAACTACTTATAACCCCAATTAAGGTACTTATAACATTACTTACTAAGTCCCATGATCCAAGTACAGTACCGCAAAATTGAAGTTATGAAGACGAGCCCAGCATCTCCTGGTTCAGGTCGACGGCGGCCGCTTCAAGGAACCGCGTGAGGTCCCCGTCCTCCTGAAGCTGAAGCAGCGCCTTGATCACGCTGTCATTCCTTACGACCCCAATAAGGGTTAGGATGTTTCTGGTTGTTAGTTTTAGTTTAAGAGTTAACTTACTACCCCAATGAGCCACAGAAATAAACGCTTAAACTTTCCGATTACTACTAGACTATAAGAGCCAAAAAAAAGTCTGAAGGTTAGGTGTTGGAGATCTAAGATTCGGGTCAGGGGCTTCAGGGACATGCGCCATCCCTCGCCCCCTGCCTCTGCCAGCCATGGCACCGTACGGCCGCCGAATAGTTCTGAGGCACACCCGAAACCCTAAGCCGTGAAACCACAGTCCTAACCCTGAAACCAAAAGTCTTAAAAAAGCCTTTTGAACGAGGTCTCTCTGAAGTGTCTCCATAGGCAAACCCTATTTTGCACAGACTTGCATATGCCCGCCTGGATGTCGGATAAGCAACCCCTTTTTTGAACCCAGACTCTGCCGATCAGCTGGATAAGCAACCCCTAAACCCTAAACCCTGGAACCAAATTCCTAAACCCTGACGCACACCCAAATCCTAAACCCTGCAAAACAATTGGGACACCGTTGGCTCGAGAGAAAAGAAGCGGAGGGAGGATAGGCTAGCTAGCCAGGTTTTTACGTATCAAACTCTTAGCATGGATATTATCATTTAATGCTACTATTGTTAGTAATGGTTGTATGAGTGTTAGTATTGTAGTACTGCTTTTATAGTATCATCACTACTGTTCGAAACAGGGGCCTGAGTTGGACAAAGGGTGCTGTTGGCTTTGCTATTACACTACAATATCTACAAATATACTGAGGGGCGAAGGAATACTATCAAGGCCCCATGGTACAGAGGTCACTGATTACAGATCAGCTGGCCTCCCTTGAAAGCGGATCGGTCAGCACGGCGCGAAACGCCTAGGCGCGGCTGGGCTTGATAACAGGAGGAGAGCTCGTTGAGTGTGGTCGGTTTTGTTAGTTTGCGGCTTTTGGCTATAAGGTCTAGGAATCAAGGTTTGGGATTTAGGGCTACGGTGCTCACACTCGGACTCCCCAGTCGAGGTACATGGCATATGTTAACTGGGTCTGTGATGGATGCAAGGGGACGGCGGGTTTGTTAAAGCAACATCCCACAATACCCTGTAATAGTGACTATAAGGATTCTATTAGGGCCCTATTATATTCATATTATGCCACTATTACAGGGTGGGGGCCCCTTCTAAAACATCCCACAATACCAAATAGTCAAATCCCCAGCTTTGGAAGAGGATTCTGTCACGTGGAAACACTGCTTTGCTTTGATGAGTCCTCTTCGCATGGGTATCCCCTTCCTGCAGTCAGCAAAACAGCAATGGCACGGGTGAGCAGAACGCGTAAAAGACAGTACACACTCGTTGCAGGGATGGGCTGCCGCAGGTAAGAAACAAGCTCGCTAGGTGCCTAGGTTGCACAGTGTCGGTCTACCATGTTGGAGATAAAAGCTATCAACCCATAAGTTGAGAATAGTCAATGTGACTGCTCGCTGTAATGCTACAAGCCGACCAGGACAATCAACTATCATATCACAGGTGCCCTCTCGCCCTCAGACGATCTTCTCGGGTCTCGTCATACCAGAATAGGAATGACTGCACCTCACCCTCTGCCGGTCTCACGACTCAAGTAGACAGCATCAAGTGCTTCTCCAAGTGGTCGACAAAGCTTGTGATCCTCGCATCAATCACTTGCTGGATCGCCCTTTGGAGAATCATGTCGTATTTGCCGGAGATAGTCGATATAGGAATTGTGACCCTGGGCTGGACCTCGACTTCACATCCAGGTGACCGCTTCTTTACTTGCTGGCAACATGACCATCCGGCTGCTGAGCCACACTTGTAGTGCCCGGAGTGATATCGAACAAGTTCCGGGAGGCTGTCATCGAGCAAGTGATGGACGTTAAGCGGAAGGTTCGCCAAGAAATGCTCCATCCTCTCGAAAGTCTCTCGTGTTTGCGGCAGGTTGTGAAGAAGGTGGGGATGATGTTGGCAAAGTGGAAGCCAGACTTGCACCCAGTCCAAGTTATCAGCAATGCCGGCACACCTAGACTGGAGAAAGGTCCTCAGGCGCTCCTGAGCTTCAGTCGCGGGGCGTGACCAAAGCCCCACCAAGTTCAGGACGAGAGTCATGCTTTGAATGCCAGCCAAGAGGCGCTCCGTGAGCTCCCAGGGCAACGCACAGATCAACGCATCGCGCACGGGCTTGGGATCATGCAACACCTCGTGTTGCATGCGCTGGCAAGCCTCGTCAGCGCAGATCTGCTCAATCGAGGGGGCCGTGAGGCAATCGGCGAGCAACAGGAGACGCAAGCATCCGCACACATCGCCTTGTTTTCGCACGAGTGCCTGTGCCGCTTCGGCATCGCAAGCTTCTGCCACGTCCAGGAACTGCTTCATACTTTGGGCCCATTCCTCGATAGTTCCTCCGGCACTGAACCTCTTGTTCGTCTGTAGCAGCTCAGAAACATCAACAACACAGTCGAGCGAGTCGCGAAACGGGCCGTCCAGCACCATGCGGAAGTAGTCAGACCTCTCCTTCAAGCGTTCCTCGTGCTCCACGTCAAAAACTGCCTCATGGACTCGGATGCACACAGAGCGTCGGGATCGGGAGTCCTCCGCAGCTGCTGGCCACGCCCTGGCCACGGCCTCCAGAGCGTCTTTGCGTGAAACGCCCGCAGCTGCCAACTCCTCACAAAATTGCAGGACACGCGACACGTCAGGAGAAGCCATGGCTGCAAGATGTCCTGGAGGGTCAGCAGCCACTGCTTGAGCGGTAGGGTCTGGCAGAACCTGAACCATCCCTTCACACCTCTGAGCTGAACCCGACCCCAAGGGAAGATTCCAAACACCGAACTCCCCTTTTGAACACCCGGACTCAAACCGAACCCTACACCCACAACCAACGTCCTAAACCCCAGATTGCAGACTGCAAAAAACTTAACCAAATCCCCACAGTGTGTATATATATATATATATACATTAGCAGCCCTGGCGGAATCCTGGCCGAATCCCTCGGGATACCGTTGTAGAACTCTAACAGACTTACAGAACCCAAAGCCCTGTTTAGTTTTAGATGTCTTGAAGCCACCAACCCCCAACAAAAATCGCGCAAAGTACCTTGAAATAGCACCCTCTGAACCCCAAACCCTATGTAACACCCTACAAACCCAAAATCCTTAGGAAACCCTGACATTAACCCTTACAGATCCCTTAAAGGAAGCCCTAAAGGAACCCCTCTATGCATCCCCGATAGAACCCTTCAAAACGACCCGCAGTTCGACTCCCGGAAACCCCGAGCTCCCCCGCGGCCAGCACCGTGGGCTCCGGGAGCGCCTCCTGCGCTTCGTGCTCGAGGCTGTACCTCGGCACCCAACAGAGGCTCCTGGGTAGCTACTTAGGGCTACTAGGGCTATTAGGGTTTAGGGTTTAGGATTTAGGGGATTAGGGTTGAGGGATTTGGGGCAAATTTTGGGTTTAGGGGTTAGGCTTTTTCTTTTCGGTTTCCTTTTTGCGTCTGCCCAACCATCTGAGCTTACATAAGGCCATTGGGTTTAGGGTCGAGGATTTAGGGCAACACAGAAGCTCCAGTTAGGGTTTAGGCAAGAGGCTTCTAGGCATGGCTCCTAGCTAGTAGGGTTCAATCGAAGTGGGGTCTAGCCCAGGGTAGGGTTTAGGGGGGAATTCGAAGAGGTTTCGACCAGCCCACTTGCTTGCGCAGCTGGCACGGGTTTAAGACGTCTAGGAGTGAGGGCAGATGAGGGTAGGGTGTAGGCTCGAAGTAGGGTTCAGTTTTATTCAGGGTTTAATGGGCTTGAGGCGGAACTTGGATGGAATTAGGGTTTAGGGCCGAAGCTTAGGCAATGTTCAGGATTTTAGGTATACGGTGCGTGGGAGATACTGATCTCTTAAAAAGAAAGGAGCTTGTCCTCGCTCGTAAAGCCCCACAGGGGCGTAGGGGTTTCGGATCCCGAGGAGGCGTGCAAATGGGATCCCAAACTAAAAACAAATCAGGAACCGGAAATGCTCCGACTCCGACCCTAACCCCGAGGCCGGAGACACCACGTGTGCCCTTTGTTGTTGCTGCCCCTTCTTGACATTGCCTGGTGTGCGGGTGCCTCTGGTGGTGGCAACGACAGTGTTGCTCAGGATAACGATGAGGCTGCATCAGGACGTGGGTTGATTGATAATCAAAAAGGAACCACACACGCACACACACACACACACGTTGGACAGGAACCGATGCACGGCTTGAACAATCGTATTCTCAGTCTTAGCACAAGTCTTGTGGAACGCCCATCCAAGCCTTGTCGCCCCCGAGACTACGGCTACAACTCGAAACTGTGAGCAGGACCGCTTAATTCTAGCAGAGATCTCGCGCCCTTAAAGACAAGAATACCCTATAAACCCTAATACCCGAAACCCGAAACTCGTGACAAGACACCCTTGCGCGAAGGTCTCCTGGCTGGCGTCCTCCGGGACCTCGCGGCATCTCTCCAGTTCGGATACTAGGCTTCAAGTTCTCCCTAAACCCTTGTGCAGCGGGCTTCCTTCTCCCTAAACCCCAAGCCCTTAACCCTAAACCTATAGCTTCTAGGTTCGAGGGCTAAGACTTAAGACTCGGTTTTTGTCTTTGGGGTTTAGGCTGATCTTAAAACCCTAAACCCAAAAACCCTAAACCCTACACCCCCAAAACCGAAGGTTTCGAGCAAGTTTAGGGTTCAAGGACTGTTACGCCAGGGTTGGGTCTGGAATGCGGTTCATGCGCGGGTTGGGGGCCTGCACTGCCGGGATTCAAAGTCTGGGCTCTTGTTCAGGGATTAACTTAAGGTAACATGATAGGGATCTATACTAGATGATATGGCTTCCTTACCATGGCAACTTAAACTAAATCCCTAAACCCTAAACCCTAAACCCTTTTTGAACCCAGGCTCTGTGTTATCAGCTGGGCAGCGCAACCCTAAACCCCTAAACCTTAACAAGAACCCAGGACCTCGGGCCTGGGCATGCACCTGAACCTAAACTTTCAAAACCCGCCGGCAGCTGGGACTCCTTGATGCCAGGTAAACCTGAACCCCTCTTTCTTGAACCGAAAACCCTATACTCCGAATATCTCCGAATCCTCGATCCTTAACCTCTAAAATCCTAAACCTGGACCTCGGCGAACGGAAAAGGGACGTCTTTAAAAAACAAATCCTCAACCTGAGATCCGCTCAGCTTCGGACCGGGACCCGGTGAACCCGGTAGCAGCCAGGACCGGAGCGTGGGATGACGTCCTGCGGCAACGCTGGCTGGAGGAGCTCGCGTTGCTGGGCTTAGGGTTTAGGGTTTTGTATCAAGGGGTTTAGGGGGAAGGACTTCGTGCTGAGGGCGGATGGTTGGAGCCGTTGTTTCGGTTTTTGGGCCTGTTGTTTCGGTTTTTGGGCCTTCGGGGTGACTTCATGTATGCTACCCTAAACCCTAAGCCCCAAACCCTAGCACTGCCGCTCTCTGCTTTTTTATGCATTCGGACCTTGACTCTGCTGGGTCTCATGGTGTCCGCTCGTCTCCTAGTCCTAGTTGTTGCCATTCAAGATTCCTATATTAATCGTGGCTCCTTCTTCGCAGCCTGGCAGCCTGTGAGGCCGTGCTAGGGCTCCCCACGACGCGGCTTGGCTTAACGAGTTCAGCCAGCCCTAAACGCACAAACACTCAAACATCCGAAACCCTGCACACCCCACAAAGCCTGAACCCGAAATCCGAAGCGGTCAGGCCCTTGTGCTTGCATGAGCTTTAGGCCTTCAGGCTTTAGAGTTCAGGGCCTTCAGGCTTTAGAGTTTAGGGCCTTCAGGCTTTAGAGTTTAGGGCCTTCAGGCTTTAGAGTTTAGGGCCCTCAGGCTTTAGAGTTTAGGGCCTTCAGGCTTTAGAGTTTAGGGCCCTCAGGCTTTAGAGTTTAGGGCCTTCAGGCTTTAGAGTTTAGGGCCTTCAGGCTTTAGAGTTTAGGGCCTTCAGGCTTTAGAGTTTAGGGCCTTCAGGCTTTAGAGTTTAGGGCCCTCAGGCTTTAGAGTTTAGGGCCTTCAGGCTTTAGAGTTTAGGGTGACAGAGATGTAGGCGTTTCGCAACTTGGATTGGCTTACAAGAACCCCAACCCCGACAGAGGACGTGCTAGTTCCAATCTTCCGCGTGGCATTCTGCTTTGAGCCTTTGAGTTGGGGTGCTGGCTGGCAGGATGTCGGGTGGTAGCGTTTCAGGGGGGGCACGGTCCGAAAAGATCGCAGGATCACATGGTGTGTTGCGGGATTTTTGCAAGCAAGAATGCAAAGGTGTACACCACAAACCTTTCAGTTCATTAGAGGACGTTAATGATCAGACTAGTACGGTTTTATATCCCCGTAAGAAACTTTAGGCAGTAATGGCATTAGTTTTCCGGCTGGACACATCGGGGGGTCTTGGGTTTAAGAGCCTAGACGGCCCCAAATCCTAGACCCTAAACCCCTACAACCCTGAAAACCTAAGCCCCTAAACCCTATAAACCCTATGCACCAGTCCTCATCCTTCTCATCCAGCGCCTGTGGACCGAGGTCTTGGCACGAAATCACAGGCCCGGACCTGAAAACCCATAATGTTAGAGCCCCACGCCAAACCCCGAACCACAAGCCCCCGAGCTGCCCCAACGACCGTGAAGAAGGTTCACTTCCAGTGCTCCAACCCCCCATCAGGCCTCGGCCCCAACAGGTACCTTCGCCCTACACGCTACACCTCCCCCTGCACCTACTATATAGGGGCCTTGATAATTGCATCTACTATTTTGGGTGGTTCTTACTACGACTATAGTACAATGTACCCCACAACCCTATTCTAATTATTAAGGCCCCCACATTAGCAGGACGGCCTGGCTGCAGCGCCACCCTTAAACTTAAAAGCACCAGTTCCATAACTTTGAGAAATGGGAGTGTCCGAAAATAGGCGGGGGCACCACTATAATTCCTTAAATAGGAGGATCCTAATAAGAAGGACCCCAAAATAAGGCCCTAATTTTCGGAAACTCCCAAGTAGACATGGGCCAAAGATGCTGGCTCTAAAACTGCTTCAGGGCATCGGGACGCAGCTGACGAGGGTCCAAACCCCTCAGCCACCCATGAACCCAAACCAAGCGCCCACAGTGTCACAGGAAAGGCCCCTGCCTTCATAATAGAACCTAAGCACGCCCACGAAAACCTGCTGAAGCACCGTGCGCATGCATGTACACATGTGTAATATACGTGTACATTTTTGAATTTGTATGTGTGTACATATGGTATGTACACACAAATATATATACACATACACACGTACACAATCTTACTGTATACATGTATCGAAACAAAGCTGAGTTGGAGTTCGACATGACAGACAAGCCCAAACATATCCAGTACCATCCCTCCAGAGAGCGTTCAACGCCATTCCTCAGCCCCAACCCCTGAAGCCTAGGCTCAAGACTAAAACCTTAGATGGGGCCCCCACCCTGTAATAGTGACTATAAAGATAACATTAGGGCCCTATTGTATCTCTATTATGCCACAATTACTGGGTGGGGGCCCCTTCTAACCAAAACTCTAAGTGCCAAGCCCTGAACCCTTACCCTGGAAGACCCACAATCCTCAACCCTGAACCCCAAATGGCCCGCCGCAGACGCCAAAACCCTGAACCCTAAGCCCCTGAACCCTTAGCCCCCAAAAGACCCTAACCTGAAGCCCCAAAACCAAAACCGAAAC